TCAGCAGCCTCTTGGCAAATCCATTCTCAGCGGCAAGCGCAATCTGGTTTTCTGTGTTTTGGAGTTAAGTTTAACGCATGGAGGGTGCTTGTGGGAGAGGGGGGTGGGTTTCTGGGGTTGTTTTTAATCCCTTTGTCAAGTTACCTAACGTGCGGGGTGCAATTTCTCCCGGGACGAGTAGACAAATATTCTGTCCAAAGTAATCTTGATGAATATCCAAACCTCTCTCCAAGTGAGGCCAAGCATTTTGGCAGGTCCCTTTTGCAGCGAGGTGCTCGAGAGCTGACAGCCGCGGCCCGGCTGAATGGGCCAGCCCAGGGCCAGTGCTGATTAATGGTGCAAGCGCAGCCCCCAGCAGCGATGCTTGAGCAAACAGGGGTGATGTCAGCCCTGGCAACAGATGGCAAAGCCCCTTCTCCCGCGCTCCACGGGCTGCTCGAGCGCTCGGTGCTGGTGAATAAAGAACAATAAGGGTAGCGCAGGGTTAACCGCCACTTTTATCAGCGTTTTTGTGCTGGCTTAGCTCTTTCACAGCAAAATGTCAGTGGCTGAATTGATTATTTTTTTTTTGTTTTGCTGTCCAGATGCAAGAGAAAAGTGGCCACAAGCAACTCTTAGCTTTTGGGGCCTCCTGCTAGAAGGGGTGTAATAAACATCCTTCCTGCAAATGTGGCAAAAGCAATTGAAGGTGGAGCTGTTTTATAGAGGTTTCTGATGCTGTTGCGAATTGTTATGGGTCAGTTGCTATTTCTACCATAAACCTCAGCTGCTCAGGGTGGCTGGAAATGCCTGTGTTCATTACCATTAGGCTGAAGTCTTGTCTGTAGACACAAGTTGTATTGCTTTAACTACACTGGTATCATTAAAGCAGTACAAATACCCTGAAGTGAATGCAGTTACAGCAGTATAAATGAGCTTGTTTATCTCATCATCTATGCTAGTATAAAGCACTTTTATACCCATATAATGGCACTCACTGGGGGTTGTGCCAGTGTAAATGTTTTGGTACAAAAATCAATAACTGGCATAGTTGGAGGCAAGAGGCTGTCTGGGTCCGGCAGGCTGGAAGTGCAGCGCTGCAGCAGCTTCCAGACTGAATGCTCGGCTGGTTTTGGTTTTAATCTATCATTCTTGTCTTGACCTAGAAATAAAAATTGAATGGAAAGTTGAATTTATCTCAGCGGCAGAAATAGGGGTCACAGGTGCTATCTCCCTCCTTGGACTCCAGCGGCCAGAGATGAGGGAACCATCTGAGCCGCAGGACAGGAGAGGTCCCTCCTCGCACAGACATGGAAAGGGGCCAGCCGGCAGAGGATCACGGAGAAATACCAATGATGGGAAAGAGAGTGATGTAGCTTAAAATAAGGGGTTCAGAGCTGCTTCACAGCTCCCAGACAGTTTCTGCGGCTGCTCTAATTTATGCTGTAAGGCCACGCTATCAGCCCCAAAAAGGGAAGGACCTGGGGTGAGAGACAGTCCTGTCCTGCCTCCCTTTTCTGCCTGCTGGGTTTTATCTCTTAGGACACAGAGGGTGGGATTCCCCTTATCAAACTCTGTAGTCATCTGCACCTGAGCTAGTTTTGTAAAGTGCCTTTATAGTGACTGGAGAGAGAGAGACATCCCTAAACTGCATTTTATC